TTGGTGAAAAGTTTTGAAATTGTTTTTGTGAACAGAAGGTAAAGAGTATATGTGTGTTGGCTGCAGTAAGTACCGCATGTTGGATCTGGTGCCAAAGTTGATTAACAGTTAGTATAGATGCTATTGTTTCTGTAGTTGAAGATGATAGTTGATAACTTGTTTGTTGAAACTGTTTCCAAAGTTCATTTGTCATAGTATCATATTTGTATGTCTTGTATTTGTATTTTTTGTATTGTTTGGTTGGTTTAGTATGTATTTGAAGATTAGTACAGACGATGTAGTAGTCACTGTTAGTAATGCCAGTTGCATGGATAATAGTAGGTGTTGTGAATATGTGTAGAATTTGTTGTGGAACCCAGATTTCATTAATTTGACTAGAAAGCTGGTTATGTTGCCAGGTAGGAGTTTGTAGATGATAAGTATATATTAGTGGAGTAAAGTTATATGATATAAGGTATTTGTATAAAGTAGAATGCTATGGCCTATTAAAATCTTGGTTAAAGTCTCTCATGATTACTGGAATATTATTAAGTTGTTGTGCTTGTGTAATCCAAAGAATAATTTGATTTTGTGTTTGTTTGTTCATATTAGCATCATTAGGTAAGTATATAGAGATAATACAAAAGTTGTTTTTATATGATAGATAAAGATCAATTGCTATAGCAGTGCCTTAGAGGGTTTGGATATTATGAATATAGGTTGTAAGTGATTGGTTTATAAGGATTATTGTTCCTGCACTGGACTCTTTTGGATTTTGAGGGTAGGTAGTATTGTTGTTTGACATAAAGCATTTGTAATTATTATTATAAAGTGTGTAATGAGTGTATTGAGAGTGTGCTAGTTTTGTTTTAGTAAGTGATATAATGTCAAACTGTTGGCTAATACAATAATCTAGCCATAATTGCCTTTTAGTAGTGTTATTGTATCCTTGAATATTGTGTGTTGCAATGGTTAAATGTTGGTGTATAGGTTTGTTGTTAGGTTCAATAGTGTCATTCATTAATATGAAATTAGAAAATGTCTATTGCCACTGCATTGGTTGTAGGTGGCTCATTTGGTATTGTAGTAGGATTATTAAATATTTCCCATGTTGGTGTAGGTAATGATGGTAAGTTAAGTAAGAAATCTGGGATTGTATGAATAGTATAGTGTTGTCTAAGAATTTGCATTGTTGGTATTATTTCTGATTGCAAGGTTATTGGAAGAATAAGTTGTATATTATTCTGAATTAATGCAAAGTTGATATCTTCTATATTGTTAGGTATAGGTAGAAGTACTTGTGCAGTTTGGGTAGATTTATTGCTATCAGCTTTGTCTTCTTGCTCTGCAGTTTGGACAAGAGGATTTGTAATATTAATCCATAATAGTAGTAGTTGTTTGAAATAGAAATGTTGTCAAAGTGTTTTTGCTATTTATATAAGTTGTTAAAATGTTGTAATAGGTAATGTAATATTAAGTTTGGCAAGTTCTTGGCTGTCTGTTGGTAGATCAGGTTTGTCAGTAGGATTTGCTTGCATTATATGATCAGATATTGAGAATCAAATGCAGTATCATTGAGTAACTTCCTCAAGAAATTCTTTTGCTATTGCATTATCAGTTATTGAGTAGGCATATTGTGAGTTGGTGTAAATAAGATCTGAGTTATTAGGCAAAAGTGGTTTGGCAATAAAGTAATTACTAGAAAGTAGTTTAAATATATAGTACTCTCTTAGCTATGCAACTGCCTCAGCTAATAGTATTTTGAATGTAGATGAGTTGAATGGGAAAAGATCTCTGATTTTGTAATTAAGTTCCTGATATGTAGTAGGTAGTGGTTGTTTTGGTAGTAGGAATTAAAAATATGAATTTGGAATTACAGTAAATGTGTAGTAGTCAGCCAGTTTGCATCTAAAATATAAGAAATATTGTAGTAATTGCCTGCTTATAATTGGAAAGTAGGTTTTCAATTCTGGAGAGAGTTCTTGGTATCTTTCTGGCAATGTTGGAAGTTTTGCAAAATAATTATTGTAAGCTTGTCAAATTTGAAGATTTTTCTTAGTGCATTGACAGTGGCCTTGTATATGATCTTTGAATAATTGGAAATGTGAATGGTAATATTTCTTAAATGTGTCCAGAGATTTCATTAGGATCTGATAGTAGAGGTATAAGCTTTTCTTGAAATACACTATTAATTGTAGCTCAAATGGATGTAGATGTTTGTTCATACTCATTTTGGATTTGTAAAAACCCTTTTGCATAATAAATGGTCTTGTAAATCATAAAGAAGGTGTAGTTGGTAAATTTAGTGTTTGAGAGAAATTGTGATATAAGCATTTGTTTAAGCATAATATTTATAGTTTTGCAAGTAGCTGCATCTGTAATTGTAATTTGATTAGTTTTTTATAAGCAATTAAAGCATTATTGTATAGGTTAGTATATTCTTTCTGGTGTGCTGGGGTAGTATTTGGATTTTTAGTAAAGATGGTAAAGAATCTGATATCAAAATACTTGAATTTAAGAAATATTGCTAATAGGATTGAGAATTGAGTTGATGTAATAATAAGTTTATGATTGATAAAGTCACAAATTCTAATTGGTGTTAGGAGTGCCTCAGCTATTGCTTCATAGGTCCAGGTTTGTTAGTTAAATAGTGTATTGATTTTGACAATAATTTTTGTTTGCAAAATATCTGCTCATTCAAAGTTATTAATGTGGTAAAACTGAGGTATATTGAGTTGCTTTTGTGTAATTTGGCTATAAGTTAGCTTAATAATATTTTGTGTATCTGATATTGTAGTCATGGATGTTGGTGATGATGTAGTGATATTGTTAGAGGATTCTGGATTAGGTAATCCTTTTGTATTAAGCAATTGTAGTTTAGACCATTTTTTGCTTTGTTATTGACCAGTTGTTGCTTTTGTTGCTTTAGCTGATGTTTTGATAATTTCTGCAGCTGTATATTGTGAAAAGAAGAGGCATTTATTTCTTCTAGTATGGGTTTTGTGTTTAGTCTATGTAGTACTGTTTGGTGTCTCTACTGTGGGCTGAGTTTGTGTATTATTTACTGTTGTACCTGCAATAAGATCAAATGTTAATTCATCCTCTTGTGTAAGGTTACTTGTTTGTAATAGTTCTTCATCTGTATCTAATTTTGTAATCATATTGTAAGGTATTACTAGAAGATCTTTACTGTGTTTAGATATCTTGTATGCCTTCTGTGCTTTTTTGTATAACTAAATAATTAATTAAGATCATAGCTTCTTGTAGTTCTAAGAAACTTGGCACTAATGTTTATGAAATTGTTTCTGGTAGTTGTGAAGTCAAAAAGTATTAATTGAAAAGCTTCTTTGTGCTTGTATAACCATTGTGTTGAAAAGGTAATAAGATTGGAAACATGACTGGATTTGGTAAGATTAACTGTAAATAAATATTTGTCAGCGAAGTTAGAAACAAGAAAGGTGACAGTAAAGGTGAGTTTGACAGGGTCTTTTATGTTAATACTAATAAACTCTTTTGCATATTTAATAGGGGAGTTGATAGTTAAGGTTGTAGGTAAAGGGTTCTTTGAAATAGCTGATTTGCTTGTGAAATAGGTTAAAGAAGAAGAAAAAAAGATGCTTTAGGAGATTGTTTGGTTCGAAGTTTGTGGTGGGTTAGTTTGTGAGTTTTCTACTATTTTTTTGGTATTTTTTGAAACTGACATCTTGTGTCTGTATGTTAAGTTAGAGAAAATATAAAGGTCCTTAGGACCATTTTTGCTAAAATGCTAGTTGTTTTCTGCAGTACTGTTTTTGGTGTTGTTGCTATTTAGGTCTGCTAGTAAGAGATTTTTCCAAGGTTGACATCTCTTTTAGATCAAGTTTAGTATGTAAAACAATTTTACTTAGTAGTTATTGCTGTATTCTTGCTAGAAAGTTTTTTGCTTTTTGTTGAGTTTTGGTAAAATGATTTACAAGAAGAGTTCACTCAAATCATTAAATAGTTGACATTAATATTGATTAATTTGCACAGTGATTTCAAAATTTGGTCTATCTATGTAAATTAAAAGACTGTGCCACTGTGCAGTTTTCACATTAAACTGAATCATGTTATAAATTTTTTTTTTATATATAAATTGTAAATTATAAATACTACAATTATAAGTGTATGAGCCTTTTCTGAAATCAGATTAGGATAAAAGACTATACATAATGTATGTATTGCAAAATGTTGTAATTTGGTTTATATAATTTATTTTTTCTTTCAATAAAAAGTTTTTTGTATATTGTATATACAGTGTGTGTAATACTTAAACTTTATAAACTAAAACAATTGAAAAAAATATTTATCAAATTAAATCTCTTTACTAAATAATAAATATTGAGGTTCATAAATATAATTACTGTTTTGCAACTGCCAAGCATGTTATGATTAAAGCACAGTACACATAATCTTAATAATAACATATATTATTTTCAATGAAATTTTTGCATTCTTATATATGTATATACTTAGAGCAAAAGAAGTTTTGTTATCTTTTGGTTTAACAAGATTTAATCAAATAAGTTTCTTGTTATAAATAATGTATTAAAATAGGATTTTTTAAGTTTTGTATATTGTTGTATTAAAAAAAATTTCTAATACACATATGAAAATCAAATTTCAATATAATATAAAATATATATAAATATAGTAATAGTTATATTTTATGCTTAATAACCATTTCAAGTGATCCTTCTATTATAGTAATTTCAATATTATTACTTATAGTTTAAGCTATGCTATTTTATTTTCTTTATTTTCTTTTTAGAACTTTGTTATTATTTAATCATTACTATTTAACAAAAGAACATCTGATATTCTTAATAGTAACTAATACATTTTTATGCATACATATATCTAATGCTCTAAATACAATACTAAAATTGGTTAATTGTATTCACTCTTAGTGATAACTTTTTATAATAGATTCAAAATTAAATTGTTCTTAGAAAATCTAACATGTAAAAGAACCAGAGTAGACATATAAATATATAATAAATATGCTAAGCAAAGATATTCAAGTCATAGTTGGTAATAAAAATCATATCTTAAAATATAATGCTGATCATATTTTTGAGACAAATAATTTTGAAATATTTTAAGCTTCTTAGAAATCAAGATTTAATGCTATGTATAAAACAATTAAACTATTACTAAATATTAAATTAAAAACTTAATAAATGCTAGAAGCAAAAATGTTAAAAGCAATATAAGATTCTATAAAGTTAATATTAATCTGACTAAAAAGACAATTTTTGTGTAAGAAAAAGTAACTAATCAAAATTTCTTTCTACTGTAACAGATTAGCTTACAATAGATAATATTTATAATACTTTTGCTAAAACTTGTAAGTTAATGATTAGTTAAATATGCAAAATAGCAAAAAAAGTCACTTCTTTGTCTAAAATTGATATCAAAAAGTCTTTTGGCAAGTTTTTATATCTTTAATATAACAAGCAACTGAAGGTGTCAAACTTTTTATTAAAAAGTCTTATAGTACAGAATATGAAAAACCTGGTAATATTTATATGTCAGCAGATACATCATTAGCAGCTACTTTTCTATTATTAGATACTGTTTCTTATTTACTTAACACTTCTAATAAAGAAGTTCCAAATCTTAAACCACTTCTTGAACTAATCTTTGAACTAATTTTTGAACTATTTTTTAAATTAATCTCTGTATTTATATCTTAGTCAACTACAACTTTATAGATATTTTATATATTCTTTTTCTATAATAAATTGAAAAATTATTTGTTTCTTTAGAAAACATAAACTTGAATATCTTAAGATCTTCTAATTTTCTATTATTAAAATTTGTTATCCAGTAAGCATAACAGGCTTTCATTGTAATTGGTTAAATTTTAAAGATTATTCTGTGATATTGCAAAAAAAGATTTGTTAATTGATAATTAAAAATTATTTAAGACAAAAATATTTTATACAAAACTAAATTATAACAAAATAATTTTATATTAGACAAAGTTGTCTTAATAAATGTGCTATTACAAAGATTTAATATTTAAGAATCCAAGACTTTAAGCCTAGTACAAACAAGATTACAAACCAGAACTTATTTAAATAAATACATGAATTAAAAAAAAAAGATAAAAAAAAAAAACTAAAAGATGCAGAAAATATACTAAAATCCAATAAAAAATATATAAATAAATATTAATTGAAAAATACTAGTTTTATTGATATCAAACTATTTTAATCTAATAGTCCAATTTGTAACGTTTTTTGTAGATCATTTGTATCAAATTTTGCTAAAAATATTTAATTATTTCTCAAAATCATACTAAATAAACCTTACTTATACTCTTAAGTAAAGTTGTTAAACTTATTTTTTTCTATTTAAGCAGTTAAGTTTTAAATCCAAATAACACTTGACAACTGAAAAAAGTTTCAAAAACTAAACTTTTGGTTTTTGCTTATTTATTACATATTTTACTAAGATAACATATCATATTCCTTAATAGAAAAATATCAAGCACCTCAAGTTGATCATTTTAATATATATTTTATTATAAACAAACCAAAACTAATCAAGATGCAAACAAAAAGATGAAAACTAAAACCTATCTTTACAAGTTTTTTCATTAACATTTTAGGAAATACTGCAAGGTTGACCTAGAAATTTTATTTTTCTGGCATTTATTAAATTTTTTTAAACATCTAATTAGCTTTCACAAATACATACACTAAACAAATCATTTCTAAATAACCTAATAGCTCTTAAAATTAAAAAAAATTTCATAAGATTAATATTATACAAACAATTTGTACTATCTAAATTTTATAATTATTACTTAAAAAAATAGTTACATACAATAACAAATATTATTACTGTTGAATCTAATTTTTTTGATTTCAATAATTATATTGCCAAACATAGTAACAGTTTCAGAACTATTACTTATAATAACAACATTCAAACTTTTAAAGTTCTACTTATCAATTTCAATTCTACAATATTTAACTCTCAAAATAACTTTTATTTTTTTATAAAACTTACTGAATCTGTTATTACTATTTCCTTTTGCAAAAAATATCACATCTACTTTGCTTTACAACATATTACTATCTTAGCACATTTACAATCTATTTTTGAAAACACTCCAACTTATTCTACTTTATAGAAATAAATTTTAATATAAAATTATTTAAATCTTTCAAATCCTTTCAAAATCTAAATTCTAACCAAAACATGAAATTACTTATTCATTTTCTATCTTCTATAATAATATTAGAAAAGCTTTTACAAATTCTATCTCTTTTAAATTATACTTATACTATGCATATATTTACATTATATGCAAAATCAAGAATATACCATGTATTATTCTTAAAAATAACAAACATTCTCTAGATTTACAAGTTTTAATCTTTGTAACTAGTGAAGAAAGTTTTCTTGTCCATATACAATGCATTTATTTACTCAAACTTAAATATCCAATTTCTTCAATACTCATAAATTGAGAATAATACAATCTAAACTATAAAATCAAATGTTGGTAATTATAAGCAAAAGAAAAATGTATATTTTTTAAAAAATTCCTTACAAAATTACTTAAGAAAACCAAATTTATAAATAAATCTAAAGACAACAATTAAACAAAAAATAACAAAACCTAAAAAAACCAAAATGATAATCAAAAACAATAATAAACAAAAAAGAAAAAAAACTATACAAAAATATAATACAACAAATGATTTTACTAGTTTCTAAACTATCTTATTATTTTTGAAATGCAAGAATATAATAAATTGAGTATATTACTAGCTCTACAAGTTTTTTTATTTCTAAAATCACATCTTGTAAACTTTAATTTAAAACAAGCAATTCCTACTAAACCAACCAATACAAAACCAAATAACAGACCTCTTGGTAAATATTTATTTAATTATATATTCAACAAAATGCCTAGTAACAATACCAAGTTTTTAACTGACTTTATTCTTGTAGTCAATTCTAAATTTGACTAATCAAACTTTATATTTTTTAAAGTTTTAGTTAAAATTCTTAAAGACTTAATAGACAAATTTACAACAGTATTTTTTACTTAACTAGGCTATTTATATATTCTTTAATTATATTACTTCATTCTATCATACTTAGCAAATAACAGAAAAAAAATATCATTAATATATTATGTTTATATTTATATTTAAGCCACATTTATAAAACTATTAATTTTGAAAAATTTATAAAAAAATTTGACATCAAACTTTTATACTTTACTTTAAATTTTGATATTGATTATGATACAGATAAGCTACTATTTAATATTCAAAATAATAATAGATTCAATATTAAAGTTATATTAAACATTTCTATAAAAAAATTTAAAAATAACTTCAAAATTCCTTCACTTAAACCTCATACCAAAACTTATGAAATCTGGTTTCAAAAATTTTTTGAAAAATACAAAATTCAATTTAAAAAAATTGATTAACAAAAAATAATCAACTATAGGCTGTATTATCACTTCAGATACATCATATTTTATAAAATAAATTAAAAAGCTTATTAATAATATTAAATCTAATAATTGTTATTTTAAATTATAC